GGTAAATAACCCAACTGAAAAGTGGACACAGGATATGAACAGACACTTCACCAATATCTCTTCTTAACGCTATATGTGACAAATATTCCTATATTTATAAATTTTATGTATTTTGCTAAATATCTTGTTGCTGATAGTTATAGTGTACAAGTAAAAACTTCAAATTCTTTTTGATTATTTATGATACTTAGTACAGTATAAATGATAAATATCCCTTTATGCTCCATCATAATTTATGAGAGATAATACTGATAATTGCTTTCTTTCCTCCATGTATTTTCTTTTTTTAAATTTTATTATTTGTGTGTACCGTCAAATCAGATCTGACTGGTATAGGAGGAGATTGTCCCTCCTTCCCTGGCAGAGCATCTGGTGAATTCGAACTGCCTCTAGGATTGCAGTGCAGGTTCTTGCCACTAGGCCACCAGAGCTCCCCTCACTCCTCCATGTATTTTCAATTCATGTTTGGTGGAATCATGGAGCTGACACTCAAAGATAGGGAGGGCCTTCTGCAATGAATTATTATGAGTTAAATTGAATAGTTTCACTCTTCCAGTTACCACATAAGTTCACTGAAAGTAGAAAGTGACAAAAAATGATATAGATGACATTTCAGAAGTGCTCAATGGACTGTGAATAACAATTTCTTGGTTCTTGACTAGATATATATTCATAGAGAAACCATAGAAAACTTTTGGGTTTGTTTCTGATCTATAATATTAGAATAAATATTCTGTCTCAAATAGTGTAGTTGTTAGGATCAAGTAAGCTAATATGAGAGCTCTTTCTAGATTATAACTTTGTATTATTTTTTTTTTTAATTCATGCTATAATTTCACTCATATTTGCTATCACAAATAATAAGAGGATTCCAGGAACATTTCACTAGTGTGTTGTTTTTAGGTGCCATTGAGTCAACTGTGGTCCATAGTGACACTACATATAACAGATCTAAACCTTGCCCTAATCTAACATCCTCGTGATCTCAGATATGTATCAGCCTACTGTTATAGTCACTATGTTAGTCATTCTTGTTGAAGGCTTTCCTCTCTTTAGCTGTATCTTTCCCAGCATGATGTCATTTTCCAAGGACTGCTCGCTCCTGCTCATTTCTACCACCAAACCCTTATTTTCCAACTACAGTTCCTTCATTGTTTCCTACTTTTACATTCTAGTAACCAATTATCATTGATATATCCTGATTTCATTTTTGGTCAATTTCAGCCTACAAAATTTGGTAAAAATTCTCAATTACTTCCTCTTTGGCTCTAGATATAGAAGCATATATTTGAACAATAGTTGTGTTAAACAGGTCTTCTTTGTATGCATGTGGCTATTATCACAACATTGTCTTTCAGGATAGAACTTGAAATTGACTCTTTTTTTGCTATGAATACAACACCATTTTCTGGTTTTCATTCCCTACATAGTATATCGTATGATTATCTGATTCAAAGTGGTCATAGATGGTATATCACATCTCACTAATGCCAAATATGCCATTATTCATGCATTCCATTTCATTTTTAACAATCTCCAATTTTCCACATTCAAGCTACGAACACTCCATGTACCACTTAGTGTTAAATGATGTTTGTTAATTGAATTTCCTCATTTCAACTTCCATTCTGGGCTCTACCACTACACTACTATAACTACTATAACAGTACTGCCAATATCTGCTTCCTCTGTAATTGTCCAACAAAGTTCTCAGTCTTGCCAGTGTTGATTTCTCCCACCTCAAAGTCTCATCTACATCTAGTTCCCCAGTCCAGCCATCACTGCTGCTGCCATCTCAACTGGGTTGGCAGACATCTCTGTTCTCTTGCTAAGCAAAGAATCTCTTCTGTTGTGGGATGAATTTCTTATTTGTGCAGCTGTTGTGGTTGATTGCCTTCGAGTTGAGCATGAACAAAAGACCTGAAGCCACCCTACAACCATCAACATTTTTCTAAGTTCATAGGGTTTCTGGAGGCATGCTATTTAGGAACTGGATGCCACCTGTTCAATTTATTGATGAGATTAGCCAATCCTCTTGAGGATTGCTGAGGCTGGCCAATCCTCTTGTGGAGTGGTAGATAGCCAAGCCCTTTGTGGGTAGGCAAACATGTCTCAGATACACAGTGCTGACCAGCCATAATAAAATCATCTACACTAGAAAAGCCATATGGAGAGACAAACTCCACACCATTATTTTACGTATCTTTCTGGTCTATCATTTAGTATATAGATGTTGACAAATGTTATATCTTCTTAGTCATTATGCAGTTCCCTTCTGTGCCTTTTAGGGTCGTTTTCATCCTGAAGTCTTATTTTATCACAGAGCAGTATTGCCATTCCTGCTTTTTTTTTTTTTTATGCCGTTTGTTTGGTGTATTTTTTTCCCAACCTTGGATATTTATTTTATCTTTCTCCTTGCTTCTTATACATGTGTCTGTTGTAAGCTACATATTGATGGGCTTTGTTATTTTCTCTGTTCTACTACTCTTTTTCTCTTAATTTGTGCATTCCGTCCATTTCCATTAAGTGTGATTATTCACATGTCAGGTTTTATCATTGCGATTTGGCTGTTTCTTTTTCTGCTGTTTCTGGTTAC